GCTTTCTCGATGATTTCTCTGATGTCGTTGTTCAGCATCTGTGCTTTCCTGTCGTTGAATCGTCCATCGTTCGGCCTTGTGCGGAGGCGAGGCCCCCCGATGGGTTGGAGTAGGGCAGGGTGACGATAGATCCCGCAAGGTACAAGGCGTCGCCGGACTGTCCGGCGGCGTCGGCACCGAGTTCGACGTCCTTCGTCTCGGGACCGATTGCGGCACCCACCACAATCAATATGCCGCCGATGCAGATCAAGACCATTGGCGTACTCGTACGGCATGAAGTTCTGCAATCCCGCCTGGTAAGTCGCGTAGAAAGCTGAAGTAGAATCACGGCCGTCGTGTACCCGAGGCCGTAACCGCTCGATCGAATTCCCACGTGGAAGCGCTCGATGATATACGTCGACGCCACCGCATATACCGACACCACGACAACGACGAGCGCAACCGTCACCACTGCAAGGGACGCGCCGCCGTGGACGCTGCCAGATGCGATGAGCCAGAACAGAAAGGGCGCCGCAGTTGCGGTGAGCGGCCCCTGGATCAGAAAGAATCGCCGACGGCCATAACGCTGGCTGAGCGCGCCGGCTACGAGGTACGCCGGGATCAACACCCCGTAGGCGATGACGAGAACCATCGTCGCCTCGGTAGTCGGTCAGCCCACCTTGCTGACGCAAAATCGGCGGCAATACAGCACCGATCATGTTGAACGCCAGCCAGATTCCGGACATGAGCACAAAGACCTGGAGGAAGCCGCGCAAGTTCTTGCCGCGGAACAGCTCAGCCACCGGTGAACTGCCCTTATCTTTCGCTTTGTTCTCGAGCCAGGCGTCGGACTCATCTACGTATCGCGAGTACCAAAAGGCCCAACACAGGGCGAGCGTGCTGCCGATGAAGAACGGATACGCCAACCCCACTGCGTGTACGCCGAGTCGTACCCACCCGACGGAATGACCATCAGCAGACCAAGAGTCAGCAGTGCTATGGCGCAGTAGGCGGCCGGGAAACCGGTCATGATGAGTGCACCGTTGAATCCGCGGCGGTGCTTGGGGCTGTGCTCGAGCGCAAGGGGTGTCGCGGCTGTGTACTGCCCGCCGAGGAAGACGCCGTCGACCAAACGCAGGACGATCAGCAGGATGACCGACAGCATGCCGATGGTTTCGTATCCGGGCAGGAATCCGATCGTCAGCGTGCAGATCCCGAAGCCGACCAACGAGAAGATCGTTGTCTTTCGCCGACCCCTGCGGTCGCTGATATGGCCGAAGATGAGAGCTCCGAGCGGCCGGCCAAGCAAGGTAGCCACGAAGATTGCTGCGGTGAGCAGGCGCGCATGCCCTTCCGACAGACCCTGGGGCTGAAAGTAAATGGCCGCGGGAGCCAAAGCGATGATCGGTAGATACACGTCGAACATGTCGACGAAAAGCCCAACCTGAGCCCCCAGCGTCGCCTTCCTGTCTCCTCGTGACGACTGTTTGGCACCGCCCCTACGAATTGTGGTCATTTCGATCTGCCTAACGGTGACAGGTAGTGCAGCGCCGGTCACGACCTACCCCAACGGTGATGGCCATCACAGTGCCTGGCGACTCCAGCATGGGCGGAACCACCGGTGCGGGACACCTATTTCTGCAAATTACAGAACAGCGAACTGAGTCCGTGGCGACAAGCCGTCGCCGTCCGAAAAACGCCATGCTGCGCCCCTCGTCAGTCCCGGCCGGCCAGGATCAACTTCTCGGCAAGAAGCCTCGGGTTGGTGTAGAGCACCTCGTGCGACCCGTCCAGTGTGACCAACCTGAAAACCCCGAGGCGGCGGGCGTTCGCGAGATATCCGCATTCCGGGTCACCGGGCGGCAAGCCGGCATCGTCGTTACACAGCACATAGCTGCGGGGTACCGATGTGAGGCCGTAGAACGCTGATAGGTCGAGTTTCTCGACCGTGGGTCCGAGCGGTTCGGGCGTCAGCATCCGGTAGGTCTCCTGTGCGCGGGCGAGGTCGGCGTCGCCGATGAAGGCATCACGCCAGACCTCGAACGGCAGCATCACAGTGTTGTCGGCTGATTCGGCGGCAAGCTGTGGGAACAGTGCTTGATAAGCAAGCGGCGCGTTGTCCAGGACGCTGGTGCCGTCGCGCGGGACGAACGCATTCCAGAACACCAGTCGCCGGACTTTCTCCGGTGTCTTGCCCAAGAGCCGGCGATGACGCTTCCCGCGAAGCTGTGTCCGACGAGCACGAAATCGTTGAGATCATGCTGGGCGACATAGTCGGCGATAGAGGCGACGCAATCGGCGTGGGTGACGTCGCGGTCGACCCCCACCCCGTGGCCCGCCATGGTCGGACAATGCACCTCATGGCCGAGTTCACGGAGTTCGTCCGCGACGTCCGCCCACGCCGTTCCGTCGTGCCAAGAGCCGTGAACGAGAACATATACCGACATGTTGATACCTAATCTGTGCGAGAGGGTTTTAGGAGAGGGGATCTGGCGAAGGATCCAAAGTTATTCGGGCACAACCGGCTTATGGCTGGATATCGCCACCCGATTGAATGCGTTGATGACAATTGCGAGCCAGTGCACCGCTGCGATCTGATCCGGCGAGAGCGCTTCGCCGATGGCGGCGTAGACGTCGTCGGACAGCTCGGCCGTCGAGATATCCGTGACGTATTCGCTGATGCGAAGCGCCGCGGTCTCCGCGTCGGTGAAGTACTGCGTCTCACGCCAGGCCGGCAGAACTGCCAGCCGGTCCGGTGTTTCGCCGACAGCGAGCGCGTCGGTGCTGTGCATCCGCAGGCAGAATGCGCATCCGTTGATCTGAGACGCTCGTATCTTGACCAGTTCGATCACCCGTGCGCTCAGTCCGACACCGGCCGCGGCGTCGACCGACGCGTGATGCAAGACCATTAGCGCTTTGTAGCTGGCGGGTTGGGTCGTGCCGATGTCAACGCGTTGAGCGATCACGGTGTATTTCTCCTTTATCGATACGTTCGCGGCGCTCGTCGATCGCCACTGCAAGTAGGACGAATCGCGAACCGGCAGTGTGATGTGGAGAGGTGTCTACTGGCGTATCGCAGATGTCACAGCGGATCCGAGTGGGACAGACCTCACAAACTGGTCCGCTTCTTCGTCAGATGGGTGCACGAGACCGATCCGAGACCATGGGGTCGGCCACACGCAGGAACGGAGGTTCACACGATGGGCGAGTTCGACGAGTCCCCCGCCACGGACGTGGAGACTCACCGGAGGTTGCTGTTCAGCGTCGCATACCGCCTCGTGGGTGCCGCACACGACGCTGAGGACATGGTGCAGGAGACCTACTCACGCTGGTACCAGCTGACCCCGGACGATCGTGCGGCGATCTTGACACCTCGGGCCTGGCTGGTCCGAGTCGCCAGTCGAGTGTGCCTGGACCACCTGGGATCTGCGCGCGTACGCCGCGAGTCGTACGTCGGAGACTGGCTCCCCGAGCCGCTCCCTGCCAGCCTCGTGGCCGCGAGCTTCGGCAGCGGCGCCAACCGAGGCGACCCGCTCCACGACATCACCCTGGACGAGTCCGTGAGCACTGCCCTGCTGGTACTCCTTGAGGAAGTCACCCCCGCAGAACGTGTCACCTTCATCCTGCACGATGTTTTCGGCCTTTCATTCAATGACATCGCAGACATCGTCGGCCGATCTTCGGCAGCGTGCCGCCAACTTGCGGTCTCCGCCCGTCGTCACGTTCGCACCGATTCCTACCGCCGGTCGTTGGATCCGAGCGATCACTCGACCGTGGTCAGCGCATTCAAGGATGCGTGCACAAACGGCAATCTCGGGGATCTCATCAGCGCCCTGGCGCCCGATGTGGTGGCCCGGGTGGACGGCGGCGGCAATGCCCGCGCGGCATTGCGTCCGCTCGTCGGAGCGGACAAGGTCGCGCGATTCCTGCTCGGCGTCATCGCCAAGCGACCGACATCCGAACTTGTCGAACGAAAAGTCAACGGTAAGAACGGCGTTGCGATGACTGTCGATGGCCGCACCGTCGGTGTCTACTCGTTTGATGTCATCGCAGGCCGAATCCAGACAATCTGGGCAGTTGTGAATCCCGAAAAGTTGGATACCTGGAACGGTTGACGCGTTCGTGCCGGACGCGCCTGCCGCTTCCTCCGCCACGAGTTGACCACGTGCTCCGTTGCGGAGTGTCGGCCACTCCGCCCCCGCACTACCATCAGCCCGCCCGATGCCGAATTGTCTGTGGTGCGCCTCACAAATGTGGATGCGCACCAGATGACAAGGAGTTTCCGTCCATGGGCAACCAATCACCACTCGACCGGGTTCTCGTGTTCGGCGCCAACGGACACATCGGCGGTCCTGTCGCCGAGGCGATCCGGCGCGATGCGCCCGGGGTGTCGTTGCGCCTGGCGACCCACCACGAGCGCACTGCCGAGTCCTTACGGCACAGGTTCCCCGACGCTGAGATCGTCGTCGCCGATTACCTCAACCTGCCGTCCCTGATCGATGCCTTCGAATCCGTCGACGGGTGTTTCATCGTCACCCCCGACTTCATGGATGAGGAGACCGCGATGACGAATATCGTTGCGGCTGCGCGTCATAATCAAGGACTACGCCATGTGGTGCGACTCGTCGCCGATCCCATCGGCATGACGATGGACCGGGTACCGCAGTATCTGACCGAATGGGGCGGCGGGACGGCAGTCCAGCATTTGCGCGCGAAGGCGGTTCTCGACCGCAGCGGCCTTCCCGTGACCTACGTCAACAACGCCGCCTACTTCATGGACAACTTCCTCAGCTTCTTCGCCGACCCAATTCAGCTGCACCGCAAGCTCGTCGTCCCGCGCAACCGGCGTATGGGCTTCCTGGACACCACCGACACCGGCGAGTGTGCGGCCGCACTTCTGCTCTCCGACCCCGGCCCGCATATCGGCCAGCTCTACCATCTCGACAATGGGCACGACGTGCTCCGGTTCGACGAGGTGGCGGTCCTCGCCTCCCAGGCGCTGGGAGAGACGATCAGCTTCGATGGCACGGATGAGGGTTTCGAGAAGTACTGCGGTGAGGCCCTTCGTCAGTACATCGGAAGGCCGGATGCGGTCGACTACTACCTCGCGTACTTCCAGTTCGAACAGGACAACGAAACCGTTTGGCGCAAGTCCGATATCGTCGAGTACCTGACCGGCAGACCGGCGAAGCGTCTCGCGGAGTGGCTCGTGGAGAATCGTGCCGCGGTCCTGGGAACCGGGACGCCATCGTGACTGTCCCCCAGCTCTTGACCTGTTGCGCCGCCGCTCCGACCATGGACGGATGAGTCCACAACCCGCCGCAGCGACGAAACAGGCCGCCCGTGCGATGCCCGGAGATGTCGCTCTGGAGCTCCTCGACGATCTCGACCGGGTGGCGATCGACGTGAGTACTCACGTATCGCAACTGCAAGACGCTCCAGCCGCGCTGGACAAGAGCACATATCTTGAGGTCCTGCACCGTTCGACATCGGCCAATATAGGTGCTGTTATGTCGAGTCTGGCGTACGGGATCGATCCAACCTCGGTCTCACCGCCGCACGGGGCGCTGGAACTCGTCGACCATGTCGCCTGTGATCGGGACGGACTCCCCGTTCTCCTGCGCATCTATCGGCTTGGCGCTGCCCAGACGGCACACTACTTCCTGCGTTGTCTGGGACAGCGCGTATCGGACACCGAAACACTGGCAGCTCGTATTGACGGCAGGCAAGTTATCTCGACGACTATGTCGATCACGTCATGCAATGCCTGAGCGATCAGTGGGCTGATCGCAGTCGGGAGGCAATACGAAACGGTTTGCACCAGGACGCAGTCATCCGGGCCGTGATTGCGGGCGACGCCACCAACATCAAGACACTCAACTACCCCTTCTCCGGCCACCATGTCGCACTGGCACTGCGGCCGTGTACCACTCGGGCTGCGACGCACGCCCAGATCATCGCGTCCATCGCTCGCCGCTTCCCCGGCCACCCCACGATCGCCTTGAACGACCACCGCGGTAGTGACATGGTGTGGATCGCCTTCAGCGACCCACCGCCACGTGCGCGGATCGAAGCCACGGTCGCCGACCTCGCGTCGCAACTGTTCGTGGCAGCGTCGGACACCGCACCTGGCGTTGAAGGCTTCGCCACCGTGACGCTTGAGGCGCAGGACACGATGGGTGCCCTCGTCACCTTGAAGCCGGACGGGGGCACAGCCTCCTTCCGCCGAGTCTCACTGATGGCCACATTGCTGGCCGCACCGATACGTGCTCGCCGATTCGCCGAGGTCGTCCTGGGGCCGCTTGCCGCCGATACCACGGAGGCCGACCGCCTCCGAATCACGTTGCAGGCGTATTTCGCATCCGGCGGCAGTAAGGCCGGCGCAAGTTCGCGCTTGTTGGTCCACGAGAAGACTGTGGCTTATCGCCTGCGGCAAGCCGCCAAACTGCTGGGAGTCTCGATCGACGACAACCGCCTCGACCTGGAGGCCGCACTCTCCGTCTGGGCCGCCATCGGGCAGGAGAGGATCTGACTCGCCATATCGCACCTCACAATTGCACCTGCTGTTTCGTCACAGAGTTTGTCGGCGCCAGTAGGCGTGACCGACGGCCAAGAAACGACGAAAGGAATCGGATATGAGGATGCGCTGCTCCACAGTTGTTCTGGCCCTCGGCCTGACAAGCCTGATGGCCTCAGCCTGTGGCTCGCCTCATCAGCACGACCCGTCTACCTCCACGACGACCTCGTCCAGCGCGCAGGCCGCGCCGAGTTCGATCATCGACCCCTGGGAAGCACGTTTCGGGCGGACGCGACCGGTCGTCGCCGTACTCGCGGCCAATGGCGGTGACAGCAACACCGAACTGACCGACTACGTGATTCCCTACGGCGTGCTCACCGCCGCCGATGTCGCCGACGTGGTCACGGTCTCGACGAATCCAGGCACCGTCACCATGCGGCCCGCGTTGCGGACCGAGGCCCAGATGACCATTGCCGACTTCGACATGCAGTATCCGGAGGGAGCCGACTACGTCATCGTGCCGGCGTTGCAGCCCCGCGATGATGCATCCGCCGTCGGCTGGATCAAAGAGCAGGCAGCCAAGGGTGGTTCGACCGTGAGCATCTGCAACGGCGCGATGACAGTTGCGCGAACCGGCCTGATGGACGGACGCAATGCGACGGGTCACTGGGCCGGTCATGAACGGCGGTCAGCGAATACCGAACGTGACGTGGCTCAAGAACGTCCGGTATGTCGCGGACGGCAAGATCGTATCCAGTGCCGGAGTGAGCGCCTCGATGCCTGTCGCGATCGCGCTCGTTGCGGCGATCGCGGGTCGTGAACGTGCCGAGGCCACCGCGCTGGAACTGGGTATCGACGACTGGACACCCGAACACGACAGTGATCGGTTCGCATCGCTCCCCCGGCCTGTCGGGGGCGAGGATGGGACGGGGTCTCCCATCGGGGTGGGCCTGGTTCCCGGTATCGATGAGATCGCCCTCGCGCTCACCGCCGAGGCCTATTCGCAATCCGGCCTCACACAGGCTTTCGCCGTGGCCCCCGATGACATTCCGGTGCGATCGAGTCGTGGAATCACCTTCCTGCCCGATATGACGGCAGCCGATCCTCGCCTCGTTCACATCGTGAATGCGACGCAGGCAGAGAAACCGGCCCAGGCGCTCGATATCGCACTCGCCGATATCGAGGACACCTACGGCGCCGACGCCGCTCTGGCTGTCGCTCGCGTCATGGAGTATCCGAACCAGCTCAACTGAGGTGACCGGTCGCCTCGACTACAGAGCCGTTCCAGCAGGTCAGTTTCTCCGAATTGCGAACAACCCAGAGCTTCGTGATGAGCCCATCACGAACTTCGAGCGCTGCGACACCGATCGTCACGCCGTCCCGCTGCATCCGCAGACCCGCTTGGCCGTTGACGTTCACCACAGAGGTTTCGACATCGGCATCCCTGCGCCGAATTCCGCCGAGATACCGGATGACTCTGTCGGCGCCGATGATGGGTCTCAGGGCCGCGCTCACCCTTCCGCCTCCGTCGTTGGTCACGGTGACGGTCGGGTCCAGCAGCGCGACGAGCGCCTCGATGTCGCCGCTCTGGAAGGCTTTGGTCAAAGCGACCGTGGTGTCCTTGTGCCGCTTGTTATCTCGTGCGCACTGGCGTAGGTCTCCACTCTGCGCCGAGCCGAAACCGCCAGTTGCCGGCATGCTGCATCAGACTCTGCCAAGGATCAAACCGATCTCACCGAACGGCAGACGGAAGACATCACGCAGCACGAAGGATACCCGCCTGCGTGGCGTCATGGAGTCCAGTACGACGAGCATGGCCATCGTGACGAGCTCCATCGATGGTGGCTTACCGCAGTCGCCGGATCCGTCGATGATCTCGATTCATCGATGCGCTGCCCCGGGACTGGTTCGGGAAGCCATGGACCGACATATTGCTCGCGCCGGTGCCGTGCGGACGTCAGGATGTCCAGGCAGATGCGGGTGGCGACTCGCACGCACCAAGCGGCAGGCGTACGGATGGCCGCGCGCTCGGGCTCGGACATATTTGTACCCGCGCAGGTAGGGCTTCCTGCGCGACGTCCTCTGCGTCTGCCATCGAACCCAGCAGGCGGTAGGCGACGTTGATCAGCAACGCCCGGTCCACCTCGCATTCGACTCGATCGATCGCGACACCGGTCATTTGTCGGCACCTCTCGTTCCCGGGATTCAGGTCACACTGGACTGCGGTCGTCCTGTCACTATGCGCCGTCGGCTGCGTCAGTGCGCTCAACACCGCATCGCGCGTAAGGGAGTGGTACGCCACCTGGATGTCGACGGCGGAGTGACGCCACAAGGTACCGGCGACAATTCAACCGCCGGTTTCGCGTGTATCGGCGTTCCGTGCGCCGCCCGGCGCACGGAACGCGTCAACGGAGTCATGCAGCGGACGACTTCACCGAGGCCGGCTGCTTCTTCGCGCCCGGCCAGCTGTAGCTGCCCGGCTTGCGGCTCTCCTTGGAGATCTGCTTGACGACGGTCGAGCAGACCATCTCCTTGATGTACGCCGCAAGCCTGCCGCCGATGTAGAACCCGCGCGGGCTGTCGTCCTGATGTGCGGCCTGAATGGTGCCGTGCTTGCGCCCGATGCTGATATTGGTGACGACAAAGGACTGATTGAGCGCCTTGACCTCGACACCGGCGATCCGTGCGAGCACTGTGCTCGCTGCTCTGGCAGCCAGCGGCATCGCCGCTTGGCAACTCATCCGCAGCGGAGGACCCGCTGGTGCCGATGCGTCACCCGCTCCGAAGATCCACGGGTCGTCGACGCTGGTGAGCGTCTCATCGGTGACGAGGCGGCCGATGTCATCGGTGGTCAGCTCCACTGCGCGCGGCCAGATCGGGAACCCGAATCCTTGCCAGTCCATACGGTCGCCGCTCGGAAAACACCCGACCGTCTGCCGCGCGAATCTGATCGGCGTCGACTTCGCGACGACGGCCTTGTCCTCGATCGTGACGCCGACCCGCGTGAGTTGCTTACGTATCGGTGCGCTGCTCCACAGATTAAGCGCAGCACATTCCGCACAGCAGGGCCGCTGGGGCCTCGGGCGCTGTCGGCCAGTTCCGAGGCGGCTTCGATACCCGTCGTGACCTCCACCGACGACGCAGATGGGCGCATTCGAGAGGCCATCCACCGTGGTTTCGCAGTCGCGTGTGCTCGCCCGAGTTCGCCGATGGGATAGGCGAACTCCCGGGCGCCGGGTACGCCGGCGGGCACGGTTCCGGTGCTACCCACGGCATAGATGAGGTAGTCGTAGGACAGCCGCGCCCCGGACTCCAGCTCCACGGTACGACTGGTCGCATCGATGCGAGTGGCCGCGTCGACGACCAGCTTGACGTTGTCACCCAACAGTTTCGCCAGGTCGACGGTCGCGTCTCCGCTGCGTGCCACGAGCTCGTGCAGCCGCACCCGCTCGACGAAAACGGGGCGCGGATTGACGATGGTGATCGCGATGTCTCGGTTCTGCTGTAGCCGGTTTGCTGCCAGCGCCCCGGCATAGCCCCCACCTATGACAACTACGTGTGGCTTGGGTGCTGGCCTCGGTCGACCATTGTTGACAGACATTTGGAACTCCTCGGTTCGGTGCGGACACCCTTATGACACCGGCAAGGCTCGGAATGTGACGGGATATCAACGATTGTGGTATAGGTCACCGCCGCCTCACAAGAAGGCACGCTACGGCGTCATATTGGCATGAACCGAACACTTCCCGCACCCGCCCGCCATTCAGCGGGGGGCGATTCTGATCTCGGTTCTGCTGTGCCCCAGGGCCTGCAATTCCCGTCGAGGGTGCCGGCGCCCATGTAGGTGGCAGACCGTCGCCGTACGAACCAACAAAGGAGAAGAGGAACACGATGAATATTCTGGTCATTGGCGGCGGATTCGCCGGCGTGTGGAGCGCCGCTGCCGCTGCGCGCGTGGCCCGCGACAACGGGACTGACGGCCTTCGCCCACGGGTCACCTTGGTGAGCGACAGCGACGAGATGGTGATTCGACCGCGCCTGTACGAGCGCGATCCGGGCCAGATGTCGGTGTCACTTGATCGCGTGCTCAAGCCGATCGGTGTGGAGCGACTTCGTGCAAGGGTCACCGGAATCGACACCAAGAAGCGCGAAGTCACAACGGCCGGTGTCGACGGGGAATCCGAGGTTCTGCACTACGACCGGCTGGTGCTCGCAGCCGGCAGCCAGGTGGTGAAGCCGAATCTGCCCGGTCGGGAATTCCTGTTCGACG